TATCTTACTGGTTATTTCTGTTCTTGATCTCCTTGAATTCATTGTATAGACATTAAAGCCAGTTTAACATGAGTGGCTTTCTCTATTAGTCACCTGCCTGAATGCAGTGATTCCCAATTGTTTATACTGTCAACCCCAGTTCTTAGTGTTGCAAAAACCTCCAGCATCAAGCCTCCCCTCACAGCTTTTATGTTGGCTACCAAACACTCTTTAAGGACCTTTGCCTTTGCTCATGATATCTGTGTCTCCCTGAGTGGACATTTTCCTCCTCTTTTAATATTCAATTATTTCCTTCTCAGGGACCCTCCTTCATCTCAAAAGTAAGTGCTGATCTCATCAATTCACGTGCCGCTCTAGCTAACTCCATTGAGTATTGTGTTTGCATCTGTTTCCAGCACTGAACGTGCGTCCCTCATGGAGAAGCACTAGGTCTAACATATCATTGTTCCTTCATATAGTTCATGGCCTGTAGTAGATAATAAATATTTATTGAGCTGTTTATTATACCAGATTTGGAAAAGGAAGTATAAAAATATAAGAAAATATCATGGAAGAGAGTGATTACTTATAACTGAGAAGGTCAACAAAGGCTCTATGTAAATTTTAATAATTGGCTTGCATCCTCAAAGATACCCACAATCAAAAGTAGGGGGCAAGAAATTAAAAGGGGTTTTCTACAGGCACAATTGCTGAGTTGTGATCGGCATAGAGTACAAAGAGCCCATTAAAGTATCTCATTAGTGATTGAAAGGTAAATGTGAGAGCAGATCACGTGAGGTCTTGCACATATTAAATAAGGATTTGTTCCTAATTTCATCAGCAGAAGCGATTAATGAAGGGTTTTAGAACACAGACATCAAGTTTCTGTAATAGAGAATAAGCACCCAAAGGGCTGAGCTTTTTTGTTTTGTTCGTTTACTGCTCACTGTTTTATTTTAATCTGATTGAAAATTACTTGCATAAAAATAGAAACTCATATATTTGAATAATCAATAAATATATGCTGTCCTATAGATCTTTCTGCAGCAGTGGCCATTTTTGATATTTGTGATACAATACAGTAGCCGCTAGGCACATGTGGCTATTGAGTGCTTTAAAATGAACTAAGGAACTGAACACTAATGTCATTTATTTTAATTAATACATTCTTAAATTTAATAGCCACTTGTGACTATTGGCCACCATATTGGACAACACAATGTCACAAAGTTCTTCCCAGGAGGGTCCCAAAAGAAAACAGATGGAGCACTCGAGTAGGATAATTCAAGGACAGTTTATTTATAAACAGACTTTTTCCAAATGTGTAAGCAGCTTTAAAGGAATCACTGAGAGAGTGCAATTAACTGCAGTTAGTTACATAGGAGCAATGGTGAGGTGGAATTACTGGGCAGACTCATAGTTGAGATGATAGAGATGTGAGCCTTGATCACATTGGAAGGGTATATATAAAATGAAGTGATAGTTTTAATGAAATTTCACTGAATGAAGTTCATGCTGAGAGCTGTTCTTTTCAATTAACATCCTTTGTGGCAGTTTACTTGCTTGCTTCCCCTGTCCAGTGCTGCTCCGTGCCGTGTTTTGTTGGTGTCCTTTTCTCGCCACTCCAGTGTAAGTGGTCCCTTTTCCATTAGCAGGGCTGTGCTGACTTAATGATGTTTCCTAGTAAGGATTCCTTTAAAAGAATCATCCTCTTTTCTTAGCACTTGGGATAGAGGCAGATTCTGCCTGTTATCTGTGGTTGTGTTTTAATATCCTTCCCTTTCTATCCTTTATAATAGCACACACAATTCACCTTCAGTCCTAGCTCCTTGCTTGATGATTTGTTCAGGCTTGGGGAAAAAAAAAAAAGAAGGAATGAGGGCCTTTAAAAAGATGGGACTATTTCTCCTTGCTTTATTTATTTTTATGCCATGCAAAAAGTACAAAGAGGCATAAAATGGCTTGACTGAAGTAAAATAAATCAAGATAAATACAGCATAGGTTCAATAAAAGGTTGGAGATGAAAGGAGAGGCGATGGTATTTGGGGGTGGGGGCCTGCAGGGGAAAAAGAAGGAAGGATTTTGTACTTTGTCTAATAATGGGCCTGATTATCACCTAAAGAACAAAATGTCTTTGACCCAAAGCAGCATTTCAAACTAAGGTTAAGTTCTGGTAGAAATTAGGAAATCATCTTTGTAGTCCTTATTGAATCTCTTCATGCTGTCACTTCCTGTCATCCTTTATTAAACTTTTGTATGCTTCTGTTGCTAGTTCTGAGAAGGTTGACATCTTTTACTTGTTCTGATGAATGACGCTACAGAAAATAGTTTTTACAGCCAAGACAACAGGAGTCTCATATTATTTTTGATAGTGCATGTGTGTGTGTGTGTGTGTGTGTGTAGTGTGTATGCATTTGATTTCTTTATCTGCCCCACTCTTGCTTCTTGTGAACTATCTCTGCTTTCATGAAGTGGAAAGAGATAAACAAGAGGTAACAGTACAAGAAACCAGAAAACAAATGCTAGGCTCTTTAGGAGAAACGGAGAACTCAAAGCTCATCTGTATCTGCTTATACCATTGCTGTATGTGGCCCTGAGTTAACTCTGCATTTTTCCACTGCTAGTTTGGAGAACACTGTGTAGGAACTGTGGTGATGGCCACAACTTTTGTCTGAATAATCACCACCATTTCTCTGATATCCAGAATTTAATTTGTGCTCAAGGGAATGACCTAATCCAATGATCTCCCACTCCTGCCACCCTTTTCTCCCCTCTTTGCTCTCTAGGCACAATTTTCATCGGATACACATTCCACAATCTCTTTAAAATAAAATGTGCTAAAGTTATTAGTGGTGCTTTTGTCTTCACATAGGAAACAACTGGAAATCCATGGTGCCAATTTTTGCTTGTCATCATTTCTAAGAGCTGATACTGGAATTTAGAACAAATAGTTCCACCGATGCCAAGCATCTTGCAGTTCATAGGATGATCTCAAAAGCTGATCACTTTTTACCTTAAATGTCAATAATGCTACTGCTGAAAAAAATCTAGGCCTTTTTGAGTTTTAGGTGATAGTCAACAACTTTAGCTAACAGAGGACTTTAGCTATACCTTGAGGGCTAAATGCTAAAATCTCCAGAGTCTATATTATGACACCCTCCTGGCAAATAGTAGGGCCCTAATACACCTATGTTGTACTTTGAATCAAGTTATGCATTTACACACTAATAAACTCTGTTCAATAATTCCAATGTAAGTTGCTATCAGAGAAACACTCCAGATATATTTACCAATATCAAGATCAAATAAAACATTAATTGTGTTCAGCATGCACAGAACAAGTATACTGAGAAGTGTTCAAAATGCATTGGAACAAGGAGAGGTGCGAATTTGTTTTTGAGTAGATTTGTTGGAGGAATTTTTGGTAGAAACCATTGAGGAATAGGTCGGATTTTATTTGTTTTGGGAGATGCTATCCTAAAAGTACCTCACACTAACCGATTGCACAACTGGAGCCGTGGGAGATGTTCCCTTATGTCAAAGGTACATTTTATGTAAGAACTTAGGGGAAGAGATAGAAAATTATAGGTATGTTGCTACCATAAATGTGGAAGGAGGAAAAACTAAAAATGTAGTTTACACTTTGTGTAAGTAGATGACTCAAATTCTTAAGGAGGTTTTTCACTTGAAGGTATGGATCTTAGCTTGAGGTTAGTTGTTGGGAATAGTGTCTGACCTACTACCTAATGATCTATACATTGACTCAGTTTCCTTTTTCATGGAGTCCATGCTGTAAACTACCTCAGTGTTCAGCTGTTTAAGCTTCCTTTCCTGGGGCAGGCTCTGTGGCACAGCAGGTTAACGTGCTGGCCTGAAGCGCCAGCATCCCATATGGGCGCCAGTTCTAGTCCTGGGTGCAATTCTTCCTATCCAGCTCTCTGCTATGGCCTGGGAAAGCAGTAGAAGACGGCCCAAGTGTTGGGCCCCTGCACCTGTGTGGTAGACCCGGAAGAAGCTCCTGGCTCCTGGCTTCGGATTGGCGAAGCTCTGGTTGTTGTGGCCAATTGGGGAGTGAATCAATGGATGGAAGACCTCTCTCTCTCCTCTCTCCACCTCTCCATCTCTCTGTGTAACTCTGACTTTCAAATAAATAAATAAATCTTTTAAAAAATAAAATAAACCTGCCTTCCTGGTTTTCAAGATCTCATTGAGCCCTTTTCCGTTTATTAAATAAAATAGCAGCAATTTTCCTACAGGTGAATCACATAATGATTTTAACAGTCTTATATATATCACTGGAAAAGTATGAGTATATTCAATCCAATTGTCTTCCATAAAAAAATGTAGAAAATACCAACTGAGGTGACTCTATATGTTAACAGCATTTGATTAGGTTAAGGATATAGTAGAGCAAATTGTTCTGCTCAAAGAATGAAAAGGTATTGCACAAATTATCTTAAAGAGCCAAAAACAGCATCCAGTTCTTACTTAAAACAATTTGTTCTTGGAATATTGTCAGCTAAAATTGTGGTCAACTTTTGCGAATTGTATGAATTTGCACTGCATATTTTATTTAGTGTTTAGCAAACTCAAATATGGCTTTGCATAACTTACACAATACTCTATGAAAATGACTTCAGAAACTCCCACAGAAGTTGACAAATTGGGCATCTAATGCTTTTAAGCTAATTGCATGCTTAGCAGTTAAAGAGTTGACTTGTTAAGAAAGAAGATCAGATTTTCATGGGGATAATGCTGTGCCTACTGCCACATTGAATCTAACCCAACCCTATATCAGAAATATTGAAGAAGCCTGGAGAAGAAAATAATGTGAACTTTAATCACCATTCTACTTACTCTTTAGTGAGATGTTCATGAATCATATGCAATAACATAACCATTTTGAAACCTATTCTTAAATTTCCAAGCTGTTATTTTCAGGAAATTTAGAAAGTAAATTGCTAAGTGATAAAGAGTAATTTGAGACCATTGCTTATGTCATTGTTTTTTCTTCCCTGCAGACTGGAAGAAAGGAAAGAAGTAATACCCTGAATGTTGCTATAGACAACATGTGCAAGAAGACAAGGGACCTTCGCAGACAGGTAAAGAAAGGGAGAAAAGAAGACACAAACGTGCAAAATGAAAGTTTTACCCATGGCTGGGGTATTTGTTGTTTTACTCATAGAAAATAAGTTTAGAACAGCAAACAAGAGTAATATATACACTTTGCATACTTAGGTACTTCAAACATGTTGGTGGCAAAAATAATAGTAGTAGAAAGTGGGGCTGGCACTGTGGCAGAGCAGGTAAAGCTGCCACCTGCAATACCGGCTTTCTTTATGGACCCCAGTTCAAGTCCCGACTGTTCCACTTCCAATCCAGCTCTTGGCTATGCCCTGGAAAAGCAGTGGAATATGGCCCAAGTCCTTGGGCCCCTGCACCCACGTGGGAGACCTGGAAGTAACTCCTGGCTCTTGGCTTCAGATGCGTGCAGCTCTGGCTGCAGCCATTTTGGAAGTAAACCAGTGAATGGAAGACCTCTCTCTCTCTTTCTCTTTCTCTCTCTCTGCCTCTGCCTTTCTGTGGCTCTGCCTTTCAAATAAATAAATAAATATTTAAAAGAAAGAAAGAAAGAAAGAAAGAAAGAAAGAAAGAAAGAAAGAAAGAAAGAAAGAAAGAAAGAGTGCCAAATATCTGGCAGAGTTACATCCAAATCCTGGGCTATGTCCTAAACAGTTAAGAGATCCTGGGCTGGAATTTCATCTCTCTGGGATTCTTTGAACATGTAAAATGGAATTAATATTATATAATAGAGCTATGAGGATTAAATGGATGCATATCTGTACCTAGAACAGAGTTCTATTTTTAAGGAATGTTGAGGAATTTATTCTGTTACATGAAAAACTAAGTTATACCAATGCTTATAGAAAGCAGCTAACAATTAAGAGAACCTAATAATTTAGAATTTCTTTTCAATGATTTTTATAAAAATAAGTGTCTGTTTAAATTCAGGATGCATTTAAACCTCAGGTCATCAAGAATATAAAATTATAAAGGGTTTTATGAAGTGATTTAGAAGTCATCCAGTATTAGGTCACAAGTTAATTTTTTTTCCAGAAATATGAAGACTTAGCTATTTTCAAAGACTTTTGCTTTTAATTCCTTTCCACTATTGAATAACCACATTTCTTATGTATAACTTTAACTTGGCCACCATGAACTCATAAAAGAGCAGCAATAAGCTTCTCAAACAAAAGCTTTAGTACAAGATATTATTGTAGTTTAATGGGAAGATTTAGTAAAATGACTGAGCAAGCTTTTAATTCAGTAGTAGATTTATAAGTGGCATAAATAGGAATCACTAGCCTTTTAATATTAGCTGTAAAAAAAAAAAAAACTCAAGGTACAAGCTGTGAAAATCCCAGTTTCTCAACTTTATGACCTTAATATGAATTTGATTTCTACCAAAGGAATTTGGAATCACAGGATGTAGGAGATGGAAGAAATTTCAAATAACTTGTCTTACCTTGCAGATGAGAAAGCTGGCCAGAGTGCTAAAGGGAAAAGAGCCTTGAGTCAGAACTTACCCTAAGACCTAGAACTCAGATCCACAGGCATATTCTTGAGCTACTCCAGGATTTCTGCCTCATGTGTTCCTCCTACCATCAACAAGGTTCTGTGTTACTAGCATTCAACATTAATACTGCCGGAGTTCTTGCAGTGATTATTTTTTTCTAATTAAAGTTAAGAAAAAGCAGTTCCTCATGAGTCAAATTATCAGATTTAGCAAACAAAAGCATGAGATGCCCAGTTAAATTTCAAATATACATTAATATAATTATGCCCTGAATATTACTTATAAATTTTTTAAAATAGCTGTGTTTATTGGAAACAAACGTTTAACATACAACCTATGTTTTATCTTGCAATGCTACTTGTGTTTCCAACTCATTATCATTAGTGGGATACAGAAATACCATTATAGATTGCTAATATTTTCATCACAGAAAACATTTCCACTTTGTAGAGAACGGCTGTCTTCTGCAGGTATGAATATCCCATGAGGTTTCACAGGTTAACCTCTTCATTTTTTTGTTTTTCTATTAATTTTTAACCAAGAACTGTGAAAAACAACAACCATTATTCCATCTCATGATACCATGGCTTGGCTGGGAGTTGGCAAGGCGATTTTTATGTTATTTTCACCTGTGATTTCCCCAGTACTGTCAAATGGTGACTGGAGCTGACTCAGGGCTATGTGTTTGGGGACTTATTCTATCCCCTCTGACAATGTACTGTGTAATCATCTAGTTTTTTTTTTTTTAAGATTTATTTATTTATTTGTTTGTTTTAAAGATTTATTTCATTTATTTGAAAGACAGAGTTACAGAGAGAGGTAGAGATAGAGAGAGAGGTCTTCCATCTGCTGGTTCACAACCCAGATGGCTGCAACGAACAGAGCTGCACTGATCTGAAGCCAGGAGTTTCTTCTGGGTCTCCCTTGAGTACAGGGGCCCAAGGACTTGAGCCATCCTCCATTGCTTTCCCAGGCCATAGCAGGGAGCTGGATGGGAAGAGGAGCAGCTGGGACTAGAACCGGCACCCATATGGGATGCTGTCGCTTCAGGCCAGGGCTTTAGCCCACTGCACCACAGTGCAGGTCCCCTATTTATTCATTTATTTGAAAGTCAGAGTTACAGAGAGGCAGAGGCGGAGAGAGAGACAGAGAGGTCTTCCATCCTCTGGTTCACACTGCAGATGGACTCAATGGCCAGAGCTGCACTGATCCGAAAACAGGAGCCAGGAGCTTCTTCTGGGTCTCCCACATGGGTGCAGGGGCCCAAGGGCTTAGGGCCAACTCCTACTGCTTTCTCAGGCCATAGCAGAGGGCTGGATCAGAAGTGGAGTGGCCAAGACTTGGACTGTCACCCAGATGGGGTGCCAGCACTTCAGGCCACAGCTTTACCCATCTTGTTACACTGTCAGCCCATCTTCTAGATTTTTAAGCATCTACTATTTCATTAAAAAATGAAAGCAATCAAATATATTCTTATATTATACATACTGAAATACACATTGAGTTTCATAAAGGGAGGTTAAAATTTTTATTTCTGCATATTAAGAAAAATTGTTTGATATTTAGTAAATGCCGAAGTAAGGGTGTCAAACACGTAATTCTGTTAAAAATAAGCAAAACAAAAATATGATATGTTGCTGAGTTGCTAGATCTTTCTTATTTTCATTCCTGGTTCTACCAGTGTAACACTAAGAAAAATGTATAAGCTCTTATTCCTCCTAGTTATTTTCCTTATCATCGAATAATATGAAGTATCTGTAAGTGTAAGTTCTACTAAATTGACAGAGAATATGTATACTGAAATATTAGCTGATTCAGTTCTTGTTAGTCAACTGAGCACTGAAAAGCATACTTCGCTATTTGACTTAAAATTAGAATGGCATTGGTATGCACAAATATAAGTTTTAAAAGTTCTCTGAGGATGCTTTTCTAAGATACTCTCTCCTCTTTCTATTCCTCCTCTCACTTAAAATTTCATTCTTTCTGTTACTTTATTTGTGTTGGTGGTGGGGGATTTTTTTTGTAGTTTTCACTTTTGGGTTTCAATCGTAGGGAAATATATTATTCTATTTGAGATCCCAAGCCACTTATATCAGTGGGAAATAGAAAAATTGATATTTCCAAACCTTTTATTAAACTGTAGTGAGAAAAGATGGAAAGCCCCTCAGTTTGGTTTTGTTCTGACATCTTTCATGCCTGGCCACAAAAAGGTATTTATTGAAAATACATATTTCTAACTCCTCTGGGCCTCCCACTAACTCAAATTTTTAGTGCTGTGTCTTCGATTTCTACATTGGCATATTGCATTCTTCTTTAAACTTTCCCCCTACTTTTTTTTTTTTTTACCTAATTGAAAGGAAAACTCTATGCCATCAGACAGGAAAGTACAATGGAAATAAATAAGTAGTGGCATAAATGTAGATATAGATGACTGTGCAATGTAATGTAAAACAATTTCTCATATGAATACGTCAGAATTATAAATAAAATAGCTTAGCATAACATTCTACCCCTTCCATAGCTCATGCGTATCTGTATTTCCAGTCCTATCTCATATTTCCTTTCTCACTGTCAGCATAATACAAAGCACAAAGCAGAAGTGGCAGAGTGTTATCCTCAATAAGCAGTTTATGTTAGTTGTTGAGGTCTATTGCTTGGTGCATGAACAAATAACATTAACACCAGATGAAATGAGTCTTTTAGATTGAATTCCCTGAAAGCGGGGTCCAAGACTAGGGCCTTGGTGCAGATAGTTTATTTGGGGAGAGATTGCAAGAAGCAAGTAAAAAAGAAAACAATGGGAAAAATGAGGCAAGGAGAGAGAGAAGGGTGTTATTGTGATTTCTGATACAGACTACAGGAACTTTAGGATCCATGTGAATTGACAATGTTTCCCAGGATCGCATGACTAATGGATAGTGGCTAGAAATTTTTTCCAGTTGTCCTCATCCCCATTCATCAAGGGTTTTCCTCAATGATGTGGATGCTTCAAAAATTACAGGTTGTTTTGCTTGGGCTATGAATCTCAGAGATCTGGAGCAGGACCTGAGGCAGAACGAGAGAGAAGCATGGGATATCATTAGAAGATATGGAAATGTACCCCAGAGAAACAGCTGAAATCAGAGACAGGTTTGGAGGATGAGATGTGAGACATCAAAATCCTCTAACATAGTTCATAAACAGATATAGCTGTGCAGGCAAAGCACCAAGAATCAACAAATCAGATAGCAACTGGTGAGAAAATTGTAGGATGATTGGATTAATTATGCTGTTTGCTGTTTGTGTGGGATAAGGGGCTTTGAGCATGACAGATATCTCCATGCCTGCTGACTGTGTGCTCTCTTAAAGGTTTTACTCTTGTCTAACACAAACCACTGATTTCTGTCCATTTCTTTCTGCCATCAGACAAAAAGATCATGCAGTTTTCAAAGTTTGAGATGAAAGTTATTCTCCATCTGTCTCGAGTCTATTGATTTAGTGAGAAATTGAGAGAAAGGGAGAGAGAGAGAGAGAGAGAGAGAGAGAGAGAGAGAGAGAAACACACTTCAGCCCTCTGATTCATTTCCCAGATGTCCACAAAGGTCCCCAGCTAGTATTGAAGTTGGGAGCTGGAAACTCAATCCAAGTCTCCCTTGTGTGTGGAAGCATCTCCTACGTTTAAGCCATCATTGCCGATTCCCAGGTTCTGCAACAGCAGAAAGCTGGAGTCAGGAGTGGAGCCAAACGTTAACACAGGCACTCCAATGTGGAATTTGGGTGTTGACTGCTAGGCCAAACACCTGTCCACAATATGTTTGTTCTGAAAAGTGCAAGAGGACAATCTGGCTTTATAAGTTGCAGATGGGAACTTTTATCAAACTCTTTTATATGAAAAAAATTCCTTCTTAAATGTGCGTATCAATGTAGCTAATTCCAGGTCTTACTTCTTGTCAGTCTCCTCGTTTCCCATTTACTCGTCAAAACCACAGCAATAGGACTCCTGCTCCCATTTTCCACTGATACTGCTCTTACTAAGGCCATCAGTAACCCCAAACCAAACAGACAACTCTCACTGTATTTGACTTCTATTCTTTTCTGAAAATATTTTTTCTGTCAACATTCTGGTTTTCCTTTATTATTAGATTTAATGCTTCTTATCTCTCCACTAGATTACAAGGGACTATGTGTTTCCCATTCTGACATTTCTCACAAAACTTTGCTTTTGGTAGAAAGGTGATGGATGATATTTAGATATATTTATTGGATTGAATGAAATCACATATACAGAAAAGATGGTTCAACAAGTTTGTGATGTGGATTTTATTATTTTGTCTGGTGGAATTAAGTACATTTTGAGAACATCGATGCAGAAGTTTACTTGAATGTTTATCTTCTGTGGTTGGTAATTTGTCCCCTATTTAGTGGCCATTGTTTCAGTGTCTTTTTAGATCTGACTCTTCTGAGTGGTTACCATGACATGTTTCCTAAAACTTTGTTCTAGGGCACTGCACTGTGCACCTCCCTGTGTGTGGCCCTTTCCATATCTTTGGCTTAAATCACCTCCCATGTTCAGGCTCTCAATGGCATTTCCCTTAGAGCAGATCATCTCTCAGCCTCCTTCTGTGTGTCCTAGTTATGGAAGAAAAATGAGAGGTTTTTTTTTTTAACTTTTATTTAATGAATATAAATTTCCAAAGTACGGCTTATGGATTACAATGGCTTCCTCCCCGTAACATCTCTCCCACCCGCATCCCTCCCCTTTCCCACTCCCTCTCCCCTTCCATTCACATGAGGTTTTTTTTAACATAAAATTATTTCTCTGAGTGATTCCTTCTACTTTTCTTTCTCATAGCTGAAACTCTTACAACATACGATTCCCAGCTCATGTCCTAACTTGTAACCTCTTGCCTGACATTCCTGGTCTATTCCCTATGGGCAGAAAACACAGTATTTATTCACGAAAGGTTTCCCACTTGCCTTGAAGTCTCTTAGGGCTCTACACTCTGTCCTAATAAGTGTTCAGTAAATATTAATTTGTTACCATTAGTGATTTGCCTTCCTGCATGCTAAGCAGAATCCTTCCTTGGGGCTTTTCCTGCAGCCTCTGTAAAATTTTGCAATTCTTCCAAGTTCTTGGCCAAAGATATTTTTCTCCCAGATACCTATGTTCATATTGTATTTATTATCCTATGATTATTATAGGAAAATAGTGCTCTTTACAATGTAGCTCTATCATTCTGCTCATTGGAAATGTATTACTAGTAATTCTTACATAATGTAAAAGTAGGCTAAGTGTCTGTTGGTGTAAAAATACATCAAAATATAGTTTTCATAGCAGAAAAATTATAATTTTTCTTATAGCTATTTATCTTTTAGTTTTATTGTATAAAGGTTGTTAAACTAAATGAGGAGGTTGATCCAAAAAGCTTTGGATCTAGTCATAATCATTGATATTGTTAGTGAAACATTTCAGGATATTGTGATCTTTAAAAGCTCAATATTAAATAAATACAATGAATTAATTTTCCAATGCAGTTTTAAATCTCAGAAAATATCTGCTGAATACAGTAATTATCTAATTGTCATTTATAAGCTTACATGTAATCTAATTTAGAGGAACTCATTGTAGCAGAATGTTAGAGTTGTTTAATAATTTAAGGTGTGAGGGCAAGAACAATTAATGCAAATGGGGAAAATTGGACATCAAACTCATTTATTATTCTTCTTGCTCTATTACTCAGTTATCAGCTGGCATAATCGGTGATCTAACTTGGTTTAATTACCATGAAGTCTACAATTTAGCTAATCAAAATTTATCATCAGTTCCTCCAACAAGGTGGAAACATTTTATAATTTATAATTATGAAAATACAAGATGTTCATTGCTGTTTGTACACATGCATAAACAGTCTAATACTTCAATTTCCTTGAGAAAAATGTAACATTACCACTTATAATATGACTTTTGGGCTAAGTACAATTTAAGAAAAATTATTGACTTTTGAGGGCAAGGGAAATATTGCTAGATGGCTTTTTTCTTAAATATTTTGTTTTAATTTTTGAAAGAATATTGATATACAGTCCTAAATATTATGATTTTAGGAATTATTTAAAATGTATATAACATGAATTTTATAACCATATAAGAATAGAAAGTAATAAACTATTTATTGAAAAAAAAACCCTGAATTTTTTCATTTCTCTTCAGCTGCGCAAGGCTATTATAGATCATGTGTCAGATTCCTTCTTGGATACGACAGTCCCACTTTTGGTCCTCATTGAAGCTGCTAAAAATGGCCGGGAAAAGGAAATAAAAGAATATGCTGCGATATTTCATGAACACACCAGCAGACTTATAGAGGTAAGTATGCTAGATCTTTAAAGTACTTTAAATCCAAGAGAATGAGGTTCCTATTCCCCATTTACAGTTGAATTACACTCAAATAAAATCTTTTGACAACATATTACAAATGTAGCAGAGTTAGGTCAAGGTAATTCTAAGGAGTATGTGCCCAATAGTATAAACTAACTGACATTGGCTTGGAAAAGAAACAACCTATTTTGAAAGAGCTATGAAACTATACTCAATAATGTTTCATGTTTAAGATTCATGTTTTACCAAGGGCCACAGAAAAGAACTGACTAAATGTACATAGTCTGTCTTAACCTTACAAATATCTTCTCATTCTAACTTATACACACCAAATATTCTGTCTGTTGGTATTACTGCTTCTCTACCATCTGTAAGTAACTATAGTATTCCTTCAGCCTTTCATATCATGTTCAACTGTTGAACAGGAGCAAAAAACATGTATATATGGGGGGAGTAGAATTCATGAATAATTAAGGGTAGTAGATTGTTCCATATTCCAATAAGGATAAAGGACTTGATAGAACTATAATTCCCTCTGTTTAGAAATTTGAGATACCAGAATGCCCTGTGATTTGGGGAACAGTGTGGTGTTGTTAGAGGAACCATGAAGTGCTAGGAGATTTCCAGGAGACCTGGGAGGCTATTATATTATGAGCATCCGTAACACAGCTACAGTATGATAAAGAGCCTGAACAAAGAACTTCTAGAACAATACCAAGGCAACACTCACAAGGCCAGGAATCAGTGGCAGGAAGGAGAAAATGCGATTTACCATAATCTATATACCAGAGCTGGTAGTCACCTTGTACTCATTGGCATGACTGCACCAGGTTTTGTGACTGATGTCTATTCTGAATGTCAGGGCCTGTGTTCATCAGGATTTTCTAGAGATATGAATTGGTAGGATACACAAATAGGTCTATGAATGTGGGATTTAATTGGGATACTTGACTTGGATGATTATGGCAGCTAAGAAAGTGTGCAACTCATCATCTGCAGGCTGGACACCCAGGGATGCTACTAGTGTGGCTCAGTCCAAGTCTGAGGGCCTGAAAACCAGGGAAACCAAGGGTACAACTCTTGTTTCTAGGCTAATATATTGAGTGTCAGCAAGGGGTCCACTAGTGTAAATCCTGGAGTCCAAAAGCCAGCATTATGCCGGCACCGCGGCTCACTGGGCTAATCCTCCGCCTTGCGGCGCCAGCACACTGGGTTCTAGTCCCGGTCGGGGCATCGGATTCTGTCCCGGTTGCCCCTCTTCCAGGCCAGCTCTCTGCTGTGGCCAGGGAGTGCAGTGGAGGATGGCCCAAGTGCTTGGGCCCTGCACCCCATGGGAGACCAGGAGAAGTACCTGGCTCCTGCCATCAGATCAGCGCGGTGCGCCGACCGCAGTGCGGCCATTGGAGGGTGAACCAACATCAAAGGAAGACCTTTCTCTCTGTCTCTCTCTCTCACTGTCCACTCTGCCTGTCAAAAAAAAAAAAAAAAAAAAAAAAAAAACACCACAAAAGCCAGCATTATGATGAAGGCAGGAGTCAAGCATGTCTTGGCTTTGAGGGAGAGGCCAATTCCTGTTCTTTGTTTAGTCTCTCCAGACCTGCCGCAAGTTGATGGTGCTAGCCTACATTAATTCCAAGGCTTCTTGCTTAGTCTACCCAGACCCACATCCTAATATAATTTGGAAACACCCTCACACAAATGTCTAACATAATGCTTTTTCAGGTATTTCTGTATTCCTTAATCCAGTCAAGTTGACACCGAAAAATTAAATGTCACAGTGTCCATGCCATACGGTTTATTACATGTTTTGACTGCTGCATCTCCCTATTCCTGCCATAAACTCTGTTGAAATGTTCCCTGTGTCCCAAATTGATTGTAAACCTTGTGAGTGAGAAATAATCACCACCTGAATTAGTGTCGTAGTGTTTGACAGAACATCTACTAAAAAGAGGACTTGCCTAGCATATGTAATGTGAATCCACCAGGAAGGAGTTTTCCAATGTAGCTAGCATTTGTCTTTTAAACTCTCTGCATCCCAGTCTCCATAACCAGAAAATGGAAGGAGTGAGTGAATACATTTTGGACTAAAACTCTCTCATTCCCAACTTTGAAATCTCCTTTGAAATCTCAAGAATTCTTTGAAGTAGGACAATTTCAACTTGCCTTACATGAAAATAAAGGTATAAAAGCTAAACCAGACTAGAGTTGGAGCTGATTTCCAGGTTTATAGTTTTTTTAATTGATTAATTCAATTATTAATTATGTATCATTTAGCTAGTTGATGTATTCCTTTGTGTACCCATTCCTCAAATATTTGTTCAGTATATTCACAAGAGAATGCTAAAAGTAAGAAGGCAGGGATGGGCATGTGGCACTGGATTTAAGTCCTCACTTGGGACATCTCCATCCCATATTGGAGTGCTCTGTTCAAGTTGTAGCTTCTTTTGTTCTGATCCCGGTGCCTGCTAATACGCATTCTGGAGGCAGCCGAGGATGGCTGGAGTACTTGGGCCCCCGCCTGCCAGGTGGGACACCCAGATTGACATCCAGGCTTCCTGGCTTCAGCTGGCCCAGCCCTGGGTGTTACAGGCATTTGGGGAGTGAACCAACACATAAAATATCTCTCTCCATCTATGTCTCTGTCTCTCTGTATTCCAAATGAAATGAAAGTAAACAATTTCTTTTTTTAGATGTAAGAGGTCAAAGCAGAGGGAATAAGTTTTAAACACACCCAATTCAACATAGTCCCTTAGTGTCATGGAAAACCTTGTCTAAAAAGGTGTTCTTTCAGCTGAAATCTCACAAAATTGTGAAAACATCTCTTCTGGTGAAATGCTCTGAAAGTAAAACTTGTTTTCTGCTGAAAAAAATGCATCTATATTCATATTTCTCAATTTGTCTTTCTATGAAACATAAATCTCATGATGTGCTCATTGGAGAAAGATACTTTGGTTAAGCCATTTTAGGAAAAAAGTTCTCTGGATAGCTTCCTTTAGAGATTTTGTATTCTTTAAAAATACTGAGAAATGAGATATCTTTAAATTACTTTAAGCCAGCATTTCCCTCAAGTCAGTTTAAAGAAGTTTTTCTTTCATAACACATATCTAAGGTACTACCTTCAAGAATGGTTGGGAAGGGAAAGGCAATTGGCACAGGGATTAAGACAATGCTTTGGGTGGGGTGTGGTTTTGTGGCACAGTGGGATAAGCTGCTACCTGCAATAACAACATCCTGCATGGGCACTAGTTTGAGCCCCAGATATTCCAGTTCTGACCCAGCTCCCTGCTAATGTGCTTGGGCAAGCAGTGGAAGATGGCCCCAGTGCTTTGGCCCCTGCCATCCACATGGGAGACCTCAGTGGAATTCCAGGCTCCTGACTTCAGCCTGGCCCAGGCCCAGCCCCAGCCGTTGGCCATTGTGATCATTTGAGGAGTGAACCAGTAGAGAGAAGACCTCTTTCTCCCTCTCTCTTTCTCTCTCTCTCTCTCTCTCTCTCTGTAACTGTGCCTTTCAAATAATAAATAAAATCTTAAAAAAAAAAAAAAGACAGTGTTTGGGGACTTCTGTATCCCATATCAGAGTACTTGGGTTTGAGTCCCAGCTCCACTTACGATTCCAGTTTTCTGTTAATGAACACCCTTGTAGGAAGCAGGTAATGCTCAACTAGTTGGGTCGCTGTCATCCACATGGGAGATCCAGATTCAGTTTCAGGCTCCTAGCTTTGGCCTGGCTAGTCCTTCCTGTTGTGGAAATTTGGGGAGTGAACTAGCAGATGGATCTCCCTCTATCTGTCTCTATCTCTCTGTTTTTTAAATAAACAAAAATGAAAATAATTAAAAAAAAACACTTGGGAATATTGCCTTAATTTTTTAACCAAATGATAACTTACTATTACATGCACTGAGCTCTAAGAATTTATTTAAAATGTTCACAGATTTTTTTTTGAAAACTCACTTTCATGTGAATATTGAAAGGAGATAAAGAATAGGTCTTAATATAATTGTGTATATTCCCTAACTAATTATAATGAAATTATGCCAGTTTTAGAGTGACAGATAAGAGGTTTGGTTCTCTCTGTAGGATTACTTAAAAACTTTGGTTTATGTTCCAAACTTCAGTTCCAGTAACCTTTTACTATGTGACAAACCATTCCAAAACTTAGTGGCCTAAAATAACTATTATTATCTCACACTAATCTATGAGTAGATTGGGCAGAACTGAGCAATTCTTACTTGTAATTCCTCATGCAATTATTGTTGGATATTGGGCTGGGCATAGAGCCTGTTAAAGGGCTGCCCACACTGGACTGGACATATAAGATGACACATTCACATTACTCAAAAGTGCATGTGAACTGTGAGGCAGGGAATTAGCTATATGGAGCACTATACATGGCCTTTCTCTGTGGCAACAGCCTCACACAGTGTGGTATTTGGATTCTGAAATGAGAAGTCCAAAGAACAAGCAAGAGAAAAAAATAGAAGCTACCTCTTCTCTTAAGGTTTGGGCCCAGAAATTGGCAGATTCCATTGTATTCTGTTAGGCAGAGCAGTAATAGCCTGCCCAGACCCAAAAGTAAGGAAACATTCAATAGATGGAATACCAAAGTATTTTCGGTCACTGTCTTCTTAGGGCTTCATTTGCTTTATCTGTAAAGTTCAGCTTACACAGGGCCACAGTTGTGGCTAGCAGGTTAAGCTGCCACCTGCAACCCCAGCATCCCATACGGATGCCAGGTAGAATCCTGGCTGCTCCACTTCTGGTCCTGTTCTCTGCCAAAGCACCTGGGAAAGCAGAAGAAATCATGAGACCCCTGCACCTGTGGGAGACCCAGAGGAAGCTCCTGGCTCCTGGCTTCAACCTGGACCAGCCCTAGTCCTTGTGGCCATTTGGGGAGTGAATCCATGATAGAAGTTCTCTCTCTCTCTCTCTCTCTCTCTCTCTCTCTCTCCACCCCGCCTACCGTAACTCTGTCTTTCAACTAAATA